GTGAAACCAGGACGGCGCCTCGTATCCAAAAGATGGAGTAAAGGGACTATTGCACAGGGGTCTAGGGCGTCTTCCGGGTCGTGGGCGCGTTGTCCAAGACAAGGTCTCGGATCGAGCGACGGAACCGTTGAAGCGCCTGGATTGGTTAGGCAGTGCAATGCAGTGCTACGTGGTGTCTCGACTCTTATTTTCCGGCAGACAAACGACGAAGGCAGCGAACGAAGGACTTGTCTCTCTCCCCAAGATCTAGAAAGAATTTTCGAGTCTCGCACAGAGGAGGGCACGGTTGTATATCGCTCCGTTGGTTTGCTCACAGACTACGGAGTATTAGTACTCCATTTACACGCCACCTCCCTTTTCACCAATGGATCATTGATCGACAACAACACGCAATAGATCTACAATACCAGCGACATCGGTTCAAGCGCTGGTTGCACCGCGTAGGCCCATTCCCGCCGGGCTACGGAGTACTCCGTTCAGCTACCGCTAATATTCAAGCACAATACGGACATTGACTCGAGCGCGACCAGGTGGCAACCTTGTGAACACACTTGGGTGGACTGGACAAAGAATGGTGGCCTCTCGCCTCTCAGCATGCAGCCGTGGTTGGACAGCGCCTTGGCCTGCCCCCCTGAGGCGGCGTCCGCCAACAGACCATGTGCGCCAATCCGCAAGCATCAAGCCAACCAGCCAGCCCCAGAACTGAGCACGCCAGGTCATAGGGAACAATCAAGAACTTCCATTAAGCTAATAAGTCAAGCCACGTGTGGGCGGCAATGGCGCTTGCGCCGGAACATTAATCCAATGTGCATAAATAGGCCCCTGCATGTGGTGGCTTCATCCCAATAAAGGACCTGTTGTGGACGTGGAGGACTTGCTCATCCATCACGATGAACTATTCCCGCCTACCACAGCTCTGCATTGCCTTGTCAGAGTGCTCTTCTCTCAATCGCCTGGGCCCCTGTATCCAACGACGCTGTCGGTGTCAATAAATAAAGTGTCAGTATACGGGCTTGGTGAACTTGTCACAGGACATTGTAATCCGGAGCGAGTGTTAAAGACGGGTAACGGTTAGGTAAATTCGAAAATGGCCAGGCGGCTGTTGCTGGCTGTACAGTTTATGCTTGTTGTTGGAGGCAACCTTTCGTGGATGGCAAGGGCAGTCAACATGTTTGTTACAACAACTCACAGGGGCGCCTACACAGAAACACGCAGAAGTTATGGTGTCAATTTTGTATTATCTGCTCAGAGCTATTTCTGATATCCCAATCTAGGCTCTTCTAATTCTTCTGCCCGGTGTAAGTACCTCAACCAGTTGCCTGACCGTACCAATTGAGCCAGTTCACAAAAATATCAAATTCCCCTGTGTAACGCCATGGCCGAATTGCGCTGCTGCTCGTCTAAAATAAAAATGAAACAAAGAATAATAAGCTTAAAACAGCTTGCGATTTTCAGGTTCACGAATCAGCGACAACAACCTTCCGAAGAAAAAAGCAAGGGAGAAAAAAAAAGCTCCAACACACAAAGGTCATGAGCATTCATGCGATATCCATCCGGCTTTAAACCAGAACGCCTCGAGTGTTCCCTCTTATGCCTGCACCTGAGGGATGTTGTCCATACTACCACCATCCTCAAGCCATTCCTTTTTGATGAGCTGCTCACGGGCGGCAAAAAGATGCTTATAGGCTGTCTTCACAGTGCCGTCACTAACACCCGCTTGCTTCGCAATAGGAAGCGATGAGCGAGGTTCGCCGACAAGATGACAAGCCATATAGATACACGCGGCAGCCACGGAGAGGGGAGATCGTCCAGCAAGCGCCGAGATGTCGTTTGCCTTCTCCGCCAAGTCTCGGGAAATCTTGGAAATCTTTTGCTGGTTCTTGAAGCCGAGTTGCGACACGTACCGGCTGCAAAGATCTTCGGCACCAACAGAGGTATTTTCGTAATTGGTCACAGTGTTCAGGCCCGTTGCGCCCTCGCCCTCGGTATCCTGCAGCTTTTGGAGAAACTTTTGCAGCTGCTTGAAGACGCGGCCGACTTCCTTCTTGCTGACACTGGTGAGGTTGAAGATTTCACGAAACGTTCGCGGCACGTTGTTCTGCCGACAGGCGATGAAGATGCATCCGGCAATCACAGCTTCCTGAGGCTTGCCCTTCATGAACTTGTGCTTGTCGACAAGTTTGAAAATGTGCTTGGCAGCGTTGGAGACGTTTTGGCCCATGTTGATGGCTTCACAGAGCGAAACAATCTCTTTGTAGGCCTGCATCAATCCCTTCTGCGCCTTATCCTGGTTGGCGTTGTTCTGGGTCCGCGAGAGAGCCTTGTGTGCCTTGGACTCGGAGAAGGCGACAGTCGTCGCAAGCTGTTCACCTTCCACGAACTCATCCTGCGGACCGCCGACACGGCTGGGATCATCGCCACCGTGATCGTCGTTGGCAAAGGTACGCCATTCCGACCGCGTGTCGATGATACGGGTGCCGACGACAACACCACAGCTCTGGCACACCATGTCACCGCTGGAGAACTCTTCCACTAGGTTGGGCGGGATCTCTTTGCAGTCTGGACAACAAAGGATGTTGTTCAGGTCTTCTTGGTAGCCTCCGCCATTCGCGTCTCCTCCTGGGGGAAACATCCTGGCTTCGTCTGGATTGGCGGCGCGACCGCAGGTCACTTGGTCAGACACTTTACGGATTCGCTTGGCCGCCTCGAGTCTTGTCTGCAGCTCTCGTGTCTTTTCTTAACTACTGTTTTGCGAGCTGAAGGGATTAAAATCTCCCTTAGCCGTGGGGAAGAGAAAAACGCAGCTGTGAGCTGGGCCGGGGAGAGTAGTGAAATGCACGTTGGCGGACGAAGTCACATGACCACGCCACAATTAGGAAGTTTGCTTACTCCACACAGCTTCTGAAGCTAGTCCATTATTAATACGGCCAACGGGTCGTCAATCATGTACTAGCTTGTAGTAGTAACTTGGTCATTATTGCAAAATCTTGATTGGTCTGATCGATGACTGGTAGCTACCAGAAGCAGAAACCCGCAGAATCTTTTTCTTTCTCGGCACCGTCCTGCACCAACTTAAAAGGTACCTAGGTACTTGGACACTTCACTTCAGTACTAGGATGCATTGAGGGACATTTGAAAGCCGGCGCGTGGATCCGAGATCGGCCAATAATGGTCCTCGCATCAGCATTTACCCACTAAAACTTCCACACCTTCACGCTCAATCGAGTTGACATTGCAGCCGTCAGTCAGATGGGCTGACTCACGTTGAGCCCGGTTCGACATAGTGCTGGCCCGAATATTTAATAACAGTCTGGCATAACTCTATATTGCCAGCATCTCCTGGTGACCTTGCAGTGATATTGCGAAGTCACAGCCCGACAATGGCATCCACATCCACGCCCTCTGGCTCTGGCTCTGGCCAGCCGGGTTTGCCTCCAGTTGACTTGAAGCCGTTGTTGACCAAGCTCTGGCCCGTCAATAATGAGGTGACGGCGGATGAAATTGCCGAGGCCATTTCTCATTTCTTCACAAACCAGGTGACCGAGGCGCAGACCGCCGCGCTGTTGATGGCCCTTCATTTCACCAAGTTGGATTTCCGAGCAGACGTTCTGCAAAAGACTGCGGCCGTCATGCTGGAAGCTGCTGAGGACATCCCGGTCAAGGAGCTGAATGAAGTTCTGGCGAGGAGAGGCAGGAAAGAAGGCGCTTACAATGGCGGCTTGGTACGTTCCATACTGTTCTTCCATCTTACAATACAGACCAGGGCACGCCGTTGATACTTTGACATGTAGTGCGACATTGTTGGCACAGGAGGTGACTCTCACAACACCTTCAACGTCAGCACGACAGCATCCATCCTCGCCTCTTCGCTTCTCATGGTGTCCAAGCACGGAAACAGAGCCAGCACCTCCAAGTCAGGCAGTGCCGACATGCTCAACAGCATGAAACCCAGGGCGCCGGTCCTGAACGCCGTCAAGTCCGGCTCCCTCGTCAAGGTGTATTCGGTGACCAACTACAGCTTCCTGTTTGCGCCCGTCTTCCACACCGGCATGCGCTACGTTGCGCCCGTTCGAAAACAGCTGCCATTCAGAACCATCTTCAACAACCTGGGGCCACTGGCCAACCCCGTGGAGGATGTCTTGGAGGCACGTGTGATTGGTGTTGGGCGACGGGACCTTGGTCCGGCCTTTGCGGAGGCGTTGAAAGCTGCTGGTTGCCGCAAGGCCTTGATTGTCTGTGGAGAAGAGGAACTCGACGAGATTAGCTGTGCCGGCGGGACTCTTTGCTGGATGCTGCGGGAGAAGTCTCCCGGAGGCGAGGTTGCTATTGAGCGCTTTACCATTACCCCGGAGGATTTCGGCGCCACGCGTCACGCCCTCAGCGAAGTGTCGCCAGGCAAGGAGGCGGCTGAGAATGCCGAGATCCTGCGACAGATTCTTTGCGGGGAGTTCCCGGACAATGATCCGTTAATCGACTTTATAGCCATCAATACGGCTGCCCTTTTTGTGGTGTCGGGCATCTGTGAGGCCGACACCAGTGACATGGGGCACGGCGATGATGGCAAGGTCATTTTGGAGCGCGGCCACGCCGGTCAGCGCTGGAAGGAGGGCTTCAGGAGAGCCAAGTGGGCTATCAAGAGCGGCCAGGCTTGGAAGCAGTGGCATGCATTTGTCGAGGTTACCAACGAGATCGGCTCATGATGGATACAGGAGTCTGGCACTTGTTGGACCTTGTGATAAAGACGGGTCAGATGGAAAATTTGACGTTTCACACAACATTTATATTTACCTAGAGATAAAACAGCCTTAGGGATATGTGCTATCCTGCAGCGCCATGTCGAACTTGGCCTCGCGTCGGCAGCTCGTGAGTACTACAGCAAAGCCACATCACATGATTCATTACCAAGTCCCATTTAGTATTATTTTCCTCCTCAGTCGTCTTCTCCCCCAGCTACTCATAGATCTCTCCGTCTCCTACTTCTTGGTTTTCGTCATCAACGGCTACCTCTGTCCACCCCACTCGACCTGCATCTGCGGCCCTGTGTTACACCCTTTGCTCACGTCAGTAGTTTCTTCCTCCTCTTCAACCACCTCTTCGGCGCTGTTGAGCCGTGTACTATCCGGGACGAATGGATCAGAGGCTCTTTGCGCAGATGGTGGGTGTGTCAGCATCATCACGCTGGGATGGCGAGTCGGCGATCTCGACTTGTCCCTCCGTAGTCCCGCCTCAAACTGCTTCCAGTCTTTTAATAAAGAGCCCGTTTTCTTTATCTGGCAGATGTATTCTCCTTGATCACTGCTCCTCCCACTTCGGTCTGCTTTGTAAAGGTGAGTCGCAGGCCCAACGTGCGGCTCGGTTGATGCCATCCGGCCGGCCAGCGACTTTCGAATAATGTAATTTCTTTGGTCCTCATTTCCGGATTCCAAAACATTGTGTACAGACATACTGTGCGTCGTTTGTGGCAGTTTCGCGCTCGAGGGTTGAGAATCAATGCAGTGGACTTGGCTGTAGGATTGCTGTTGCCTGTACTTCAGGACAAGGATAACGAGGGCGGCAACAACGCCGGATATGATGATGATGGTGGCTATTATGGTGACGACGATCCAGATTCCATATTCTGTAGTCTGGTCTTCGAATGACACTCGTTTCGACAAATGCGCCATGGTGACTGTGTTTGGCGAACGGCCACCACCTCAGGATGCTCATATCATGTGGTGAGCATGGCCCGAGTCTTGATTCAGAAATGGGGGAAACGTCAAGAAATACGAGGGGTCATGGAATTTGTCACTTTGATTGCTTCATTTGGCACCAATCATCCGGGGTGTCGACTGTGCCGCGCCTTGTCTTCTATTATTGGCGGGTTGCGTATGATGGAAACATGGGGGGGTGAGAATGCAGGCCGGCAAGAGAGTTTGCCGTCTGGAACAGGCTAGACATGGCATGCTCTCTTGTTTTGATGAGAAAACTTGTCGTTTCATTTTATTTTTACGATATTACTTGGGCTTTGGGTTGTTAGCCAAGCGGATAGAACTGTATATTTGGCATCTAGGACATGACAAAAAAAAACGGGAATTGGGGTTTGCCGCTCTATTGGACAAATAATTGAGATCATGACAAACAGATGGTACCGCGACATCTCTTGGTGCCTCAAACTTTTTGCGGCATCCAGGGGCGCATGGATCATTGATTTAAGAATAGATTGATGATGTGGACAAATGACCTGTCCAGCTAGACGTAGTCAACACTGCCGAACGAGGGCTGCGCCTCCATCTTATAAACGCATTGGCCACCAGAGAGAGGGCTTGAATATTTAAAGTAACAAGGTGCGAACCAACAGAAATGCGTGTGGGCAAAAGTCGATGCCGGACCAGACAGGCATTGCCGGCTTTCGCTGGAGTGCCTTGCAAAGCCATTGGAGCACATGATTGGTCCTCGGGAGGCCATGTTGGGCGCTTCGGCCCCGGATTTCGAACGTTGTTCAATGTTGACGTCAAATTTGACTAGCAGAAGCAGCACTGACATCAATAATCAATGGCTCTGACTAAAGCTCAGGGTGCCTGGCTGGCTCAACCGCGGGGAGCCGGGACCCGCGGCCAGGGAACATTGAACCAGACGGCCAGGCCAGGCAGCTACTAGCAATACTAGTGCCAGGCAGTCCGTGGCGCGCGGGGAGCCCCTGACTGCCCGTCTGCACATGTCAACTGGCCAGCCCCTAACGGACTAAAACTAGTGGCACTGGAGCACTGGAGCACTGGAGCGCCAGCCCAGCCGCCCAACCGCCGACCAATTGGGGCAACTTGACCGCCCCAACATTGAAGCCTCCCTCCCCCGGACGCGGCTCTGTGCCGAACATTGAACCCCACTGTCCCTGCTTCCCCCGATTCCGCTCCGCTCATCACCGACTACTACTACGTATCATATCCGACATGCAACTTCTCCCTCGCACCTTCCACATGCATGTTCCTCCTGCGATCCTCAATCTTCCTCCGAACCAACTCGCACTTCAACAACGCTGTTGACGACGCGCGCGTTGGCAATGTCGGCCGTGTCCAGGTGCATCCGGCCGCTGTCGGTGATGCGGTCCTCGCGCCTCGCCAATGGCTTCCGTCGCTATTCCAGTGCATCAAAGACTCCGCTGCCCCTCGAGGGATATCGCGTGTTGGACATGACCCGTGTGTTGGCTGGTGTAAGTGCCTTCAAGCCTTGACCGCCACCAGCTCCGACCAAGAGTTTCCATCAAGAGCTCACATCACGTCGCGCCGCCAACATGGTCGGATGGACTCTGCTGACACCGCCATGATCCAGCCCTACTGCACTCAAATTTTGGGTGACCTTGGGTAAGTTGAGCATTCTCCACAGCTTCCCAACTATAAACTGTTGGACGTCGTCTTTACTAACCTGCTCTCTTCAAAATACAGTGCCGAGGTCATCAAAATTGAGCATCCCGTGAGAGGAGATGACACGCGCGCGTGGGGGCCGCCATATGCCGCATACAAGCCGGATACAAAGGCAGATGGCCCTGGAGAGGCTGCATATTTTCTCGGGGTAAGCCAGCCATCAATCGATCATCTCCGTCTTGCCATGTTACCACCTTGCAGCCGACAATGAATTCAGCTTCTGGCCCCGCTGACATCTCATGTCACAGGCCAACCGAAACAAAAAGTCACTGGGTCTCTCTTTCCAGCATCCAGAGGGGGTAGACATTCTGCACAAGCTTGTTGCCAAATGTGATATCCTCGTCGAGAATTACCTTCCCGGCACATTGAAGAAGTACTCGATGGATTACGAGACTGTACGCAAGATCAATCCCGGTCTCATTTATGCCTCCATCACCGGCTACGGGCAAACAGGGCCATATGCCAACCGCGCCGGTTACGATGTCATGGTGGAAGCTGAGTTTGGCCTGATGCACATCACCGGCCAGAGAGACGGTCCTCCCGTCAAGGTTGGCGTAGCCGTTACTGATCTTACCACAGGCTTGTATACCAGCAACAGCATCATGGCAGCACTTCTGGGCAGGGCCAGCACAGGCAAGGGCCAACACATCGATGTGGCCTTGAGCGACTGCCAGACAGCAACCTTGGCGAATATTGCCAGCAGTTGCCTCATCAGTGGGAAGAAGGACACGGGTAGATGGGGCACGGCGCATCGTGAGTAACTGCACCCGCCATCAAAAGACGGGAAGCTGACAGGCCCTAGCCTCAATTGTTCCTTATAGATCATTCAAGACTAGGGATGGAGACATCCTCTTTGGCGGTGGGAATGATCGTCTGTTTGGCGTCCTATGCGACGGCCTTGGCAAACCTGAGTGGAAGGATGATGCAAAATTCAAGACAAACGCGGACAGAGTCGCGAACCGCCAACGGTTGGAGGCCGAGATTGAAGCCATCTCACAACAAAAAACCACAGAGGAGTGGCTACAGGTGTTCGAAGGCAGTGGTATGCCCTACGCAGCCGTGAACGACGTACAAACCACGCTGAACCACGCCCACACAAAGGCGCGTAACATGGTTGTTGAAATGGAACATGAGATTTGCGGTCCAATTAAAATGGTCAACACCCCCGTCAAATTCTCTGAAACCCAGCCTTCCATCCGCTCCGTGCCACCTATGCTTGGCCAGCACACTGACGAAATTCTCAGTGACCATCTTGGTATGAGCCAGTCGGACATTTCAGACCTGAAAGAACGAGGGGCCATACGTTGAAAAAAAAAAGATCTTGTTAAAAGAACATTAGACATCACATAAATACATGTAATAAATCCATCAATTCCATCTATATCTATCTCCACATGTTGTTGTCGCGGTGCAGGCTCATATGGATATCACGTGATGGCCATCCGCCGAAGACCTGGTCTGCAATTGTCGCCAGACTCACTCAATCCATCGTGACTTCACTCCCTCCCTGAGCTCCGGGAATATATAATTATCGTTCATCGCCAACGAATGGTAGATGGGTTTCTCTTCTTCGGTTATCCGTCACCAGCTCTCCGAGCATCGGCACACAGCTTCCATGCAAGTTTATGCCTTGACCAATTTCAGGTCATCCAGATGATGGCGTCAGCACCAGAGACGCCGGTAGGGGAGGAATGCATAGCTGTTAAGATTATGGACTCCGACCGCACGCCTTCCATCCCCTCATCTGTCGACATGAATGCCACACAGGACATTTCAAATGAGATTGTAGGCCACCATATCGTTAGCAGCAACTATGCGCCGCAATTCGACTCGGCAGCTGCATTCATTCTAAGTCGGATTCGAGATACCAATGACAACTTCAAACCACCCAGGAGAGGCTCATCAGGCATTCTAAATAAGCTTGGCCGAAAAGGGGGAATGGTAGAGGCTATGGATTCATGGACAATGCCGTTGCCAAATGCCCCTACTCCAGCCTTGTCCCTTACCTCGACGTCGCATCAGGAGCAACTAGCTTCCATCTCTTCCAGCTTAAAACGCAAGCGCGACCCTGAGTCCGAGGCTCCTGACTTTACACAGAGTACAATTGCATGTCCGGAGTCGATGGTCCATTCTCATTCCAAAGTCATCGCATCTGCTCAGCCATCAACTGCCGAGAGCAGCACACCAAAAACTGCCTTGGGGAACCTCCACTCATCAATCAGCCTTTCCGGTCAGGCCGCAGTTGAAAATATAAGAGAAAAGAGGCTTTCAGCCATTACGGATGGCATTTCTCCCGCAAAGTCAGAGTTGGTGGGCTTTTATGCTGGGCAAGCATCCGATATAGTCGTGAGTTCTGTCAACACGCTCCATCACGGCCTTGTATCAAGCTAACATGGGCACTTGGAGCGTACACAATATTTCCTGGGGAAAAGAAGGACAGATTTGCTGAATATTCTTTCATTCTGCGACCAACTTCGGCCTCAACTTCTTGCTGATATTCTGGTGTCAGTGTCGAAAAAACATCCAGACTTGCCCATTTTCGACTCTCCAGACTGGCAGAGGCCGATTTCCCGCTCTCTAGACGCCCAGATTGCTGCGGCAGTACGTCGTGCCCGTCCAGCTGGAAGGCCTAGACATGGTCACACTGTACTGAATCCGAAATCGAGACAAAGGCAAAAGAACGCAAAGAAGGCATTAAAACGTCTAATAAGGGCAGAACATGAGGTTGACACCCCAGAGGACGAGGACGTCGAGGAGGACGTGCTCCCATCTACTTGGCCAAAGGCTGGACAAGGCCTATACTCCAAACTTCCTCCAGAAACCGAAGACAGGGCATTCCTAGCTGACGACAATGATGACGAATCGTTTAGCCATTTCATGGTGGACAACCTTGGAAAACCAATGATTGTATCGACATGTGCGTGAAGGCTTTTTAAATAAAAGATTGTGGATTGTCTGCGCTCATAACTGTATAATGTAACTCTCTTGTATACCCAATGAATGCGGAGCAGTACGCCTAACAGGATTTCTTTGTCGCCGAAATAATGCAAATGAGACAAGGTCCAGTCAAGACTACATTCATACACTTGAAGTGATCGCGCAATGGAAATTTCATACTCGATGCCAGGCTGGGTATATTAGAAGTTATGGAGACTATTTCATCGCCTCAAAAAGAAAATTAACTATTTACATCGTTGCAGACATGAGACCCAACGCCAAGACATTACCGGATGCAAACGCTAGATCGTTTTCTATCAACTATAGCA